ATTTTCCCTAGTCTTCCCATCATCGCCGACGTACTTAGAGAAGCTTTTCTCGTCGCCCTTGACATCCCTGGCCTCATCGAAGTCTAGCAGGCCACTACCTTTCCTGACCCAATTCCTGGCTGCTCGTACAATGACTCCGAGGCTACGTGCCCTGGCTTGCACCCTCTGTGGGCTTCCTTTTTGGCTTCGACTTGGTCCAGGAGCTCCTTGCTCATCTGTGCTGGCCTCCTGATGTTCTTGCCCCACTTCCTCTTGGTCAGGTTGCATCGCTCCTGAGAGATACTCCTTGAATATGAGCTAGCTTTCTTGGCCCCGCTTCCATCCAGGCCTTTATCCCCTGGTGCTCTACTCTACCAAGCAGCAATCCGAAGAGGGCAAAGTCTGCTCTCCTGAAGTCCAGAGTAGGGAGCTTGCCGTGCGCCCTCCTCACCACTCTAAGGATCTTGACCTCCACTGTTTCACAGACACTGCAGTCGAGGCTGCCCTCGTGCTTCGCGTTCCCCGCAGGTCTGGGAGAACAAGGTCCGGCATAGCACCTCTCCTTGTTGGGTTCCTCTGACGCTTGGAGAAGGAAGTTCTCTTGGATGTGTTCCAGGAACCTCCCGGATTGCTGATGCTCTTACTCGCATGCCTTTGACTTCCCCGCTAAACCATGACACTAACCAAACCCTGCTTGCCAAGAAAGGGTTCGACATCTCCCTGCCCCAGGACAGCGCTGCCTTCATCCGCTTCTCCCCGCAACAGCACACGCTGTAACCCGCCCGATTCTCTTCCCCTGGCCCACGGATGACGACAGAGGAGGGAGGGAAGGAAGGAACGAGAGATCAAGTAGTGGTACAGGGCTGCACCACCTCCTGAGCTTGCACCCCGATCGAGCCCTTGGCCTGACGATCAGCACCCCCACGCACCCCTGACCCTTCAGATGGCTAGGTACACCGCTCCCTGGGCTGGATGGTCCCTAAGCACCAACGGCTCCTCCCGGCATGCTCATGCCACGCAGAGGACAAGAAAGTTACTCCAGAGAGAGATCACCTTCTCTGACCCTCTCTGCTTCTGGCCTCCCACCCTGCCATGATGATGCCTCCACCTTCTGCCACAACTCTCGCACTGTTCTGCCACATCCCGTCCTAGGTCTCTTCTCCAGCTAGCTCATGGCGCCCCTGTCCTGAAACACGCACACGTCATCTCCTCCTCCTCCTCCCTGAAGAATGACACCAGGCACCCTCGGACACTGCCCCTGCCGGGAAGAGTCCCCTGTCCGATGATGAGTGATGGCCCATTCCCCCTACTGCTCCACATCATGTCGCAACTTATCTAGCACTCCCCCCCCACCCAACAGCTACAATAACCCACAAACCCTCAGTCCCTAGAAGCCACCTTTCCCTTGCCAAGGCCCCTAGGACTGACTCCAAGCACTGGGCTCGTCGACACCTGGCAACTAAAGCCAAGGATGGGCACACCTCATGCCACCCCAAATCACTGAACACTCTCCTGGGCATGATGGTGCCCATGAGACTGCACCTCTCAGAAAGCTGAGGGGCGTGCCTTGCCGCCACCCTCGAGTGACACCCGCCAGGGCCCTCCCACGGCCACCCGCTACAGTCCTGAACAACCAAGGGCCACGGGTAGCCCCTGTCTGGCCTGAGACGCACACTCCCACTATGGTGCGATGCTTTGGCAGCATCAGGGCGTACAGCGGGCCAAAGTCCACAACCACACGGACATTCCACTCGCTCTCTATGCTGCCTGCCACCCGACTCCGTACTCTCCCTCACGCCAGAGCCCTGCCAGCAGAAGGCTGGCTCCTGCTGGCCATCTCTGCCCTGGGATGGCCCCCTCAACTTGCCAGAACACCACGGGGATAGGCCACAGCTACACATATCACCTTCCTCAATGGCAGCTGTGCAGTCTGCAGTTCCTCAAACACCTT